CCTCCCCTGCGCCCCTGCGGTCTCCTCGCCATCCCGCCCCGCCCCTCGCGGCTGCTGCGAAAGGGATCCACTCTGACCAGCAGATCCTAGCTGCTCTCACTCGGCGGAGGGTTTTCGACATCGACTATATAGCGAGATCGGATTCATAAGCTCTCTGGAGTACGTTCTAGCGGACGGCTGTTGATTGGTAGTTTGTGGTGTGACGGCTCAATGCCAGGCGAGCGCCGAAGCAACCCTAACAACGGGCCACGAACCGCGCGCGGTCATTCCTTCCCAATTCTCGTCCCATTGCCTGGTCTTACACACTCACACATTCATTACCACCAAATATGGAAGTCCAGTCTGGAGCTCGGCTGCGGCGGTGCCCCGCTGGGGAGATACCTGGAGATGGAACCCGACCGCAGGCGCAGCGAGAGAGCGGTGTGGGTGCGTGGGGTGCAGTTGGACAGCGGGTCGAGCGGGGCGGCGGCGGCGGAGGGACCGGGGAGGCGGGCAGCGGGGAGGTCGCGACCCCGGGCACCGTTCCAACGCCGTCCGCCCCCGCGCCCGCAGCACGGCCCGGCGCAGGGCGTACATCGGCCGCTTTAACGCCGCTGTCTGGGCTGCGCTCCAGTTCCCTCGCCGGGGGGAGACACTTCCCTGCAAGGGTCGGTTGAAGCGGCACTCCGCACTTCGAGCGAGCGACAGAGGAAACGGTGCCAAGACTCCGTCGAATCGCTCAGAGCCGCAACACCGTTGCCACTGCGATGTATGTCCCGGAGGTCCTAGCATTCGAGTCTCGACGCGGGCCTTTCCACACTGGCTAAATAGAGTAGACGAATTAGGAGACTGTCTGGAAAAGAATTCTAGCGGCTGGCTGCTCTATTGATTGATAGGTTTCCCTGGTTTAACTCTCTCGCTATCGCTTGTGCAGTAGAGAAAAAGTAACGGGGCAGAAAGAAAGTTGCGCAGTAGAGGGAAAGTAATGCTGCGCCAAAAAACTGAATTTTCGGCAGAAAACTCTTATTTCAGGGTCGTGGTAACAAAAAACTGGATACATCCAGTTGCTAAATTTACGGGAAAAGTCCAATTCATATTTTATGGCTCCATGACACCGAAAAATCGAATGATGGGAAAACGTATGCCTGTCGTCCGACCGTCCAGCTGTGAAAAGCGTCAGTGGCTCTGGCCTTAATTAAAACTGTTACTTAAAGATAGATTCTGAAATAAGGTCATGTACGAATTTGAGTACATTTTGCATAATTTTGTGCGAAAATATGAGCGAGAAAGTACGTGATGTTTTAGCACCACTAGTCTTAGGTTCGATTCCCGACTGAGGCAGGATTTTCGACACTAGATTGTTAGGTCGGTCGAGTCCAGTCGCTGTCTGGAGGAGAATGCTAGGGCCGGCTGCTCTGGATGGAAGTTTTCCGTGGTTTCTCCGATCAACATCAGGCGAATGCCGGAGCAGTACCCTTACAAACGGGCACGGGACCGCGCGATATTTCTTATCCCTTCCTTGTCCTATCCTGACCCCTTACGCACACTTACATTAACACGCACTACACAAGAACACATGCCGAGAGACCAGTCGGGAGCGTAGGGCTTTTCCCGGCTAGGGCGGTGCCCCGCCGGCGGGAGATACCTGGTTGGGGAAAACCCCGACCGGGGACGGTAGGTTGGCGCCGGATCTCGCCATCCAGCGGAGGAAGACCACAGCCACCTTCCGAGGGAGGACGTGCACTACACTTACTGGACTAATGACCATTAGTAGTTGACGCGCTCGATATCACTATCAATCAATCAATTGGAATGGCTGCAGTGAGCAACTGATAAGGCCCCGCACGACACTACTTTTTTTGTGCTTGTGTCATATATGAGGCGCCAGCAGAAGTTCTCATACGAAATACGCGTGTTTAAGAGCGATCTTCTTAAATATATCAAACGATATCTAAATAAGGCACGCAGGTAGCATGCTTACAATAAAAACCACTCGATTCACAATGTATCCGGTATGTTTAATTGTTCATTCTAATGCATATAAAAGGAAACATTATTTTATTGTATTGGTAACGATCACAGAGTTACTGCAATAAAATGATTATAGCATTTTATGTTGTTTGTGGTATTTGTTTATTGCATTCAATAATATTGGCTAAAGAGAAACGCTTTAACATACATTTTTGTGTTTTAATTTTTGTAGTATCATTGAGTTTTTAGACAACCAAAACCTGAAACTGCAATAATAAATGTTTTGCTAATGTTCCGGAGAAATTATATCACACGTTTCGCACACTAAGGCGTATGTCTCTCAGGAAAATCTATGAACTCTTTCAATCAAGATTAAAAAACATTTTCAATTTTTAAAATGATCTACACAAATAAAATAGAAAATTAAAGGGCAGGCACTTGACAAGCGAGTACCCATATACATACTGAAAGTACTCGGAAGTTAATACCATGTTTCGTGTTTTAACTGTCTAAAGAACGTGTCTAAAAACCCTAGGACATTACAAAATTGCAGATATAAAATAAACTATCAGATACATTTTTTATTAGCCAAAGAACTGAATTTTTGGGTTTTGTTACACATATGTTTGAGATATTGCGAATGGTTGAGGGAACTGAACAATGAACTACAATGATGATACAACAGCAAACACTTTTTTATTACTTCTAAATTTGTAATTTTCGAAAATTCAGAGAAACAAAATAAAAGCGCAGGTCTAATTTTCGTTAAAAAGTTCCTTGTACTATCTGTGCAAAATATTTGATGTGGTTTTTGATTTTTTTGATTTCAAAAATTTCAAGCACAAACTACGCAAAACTATTCAATTTTTCAAAAATAGTAGCCTACACTTTTAAACAGCCGATGTTTAGAACAGATTTTGTTTAAGGCAATCACATTTATCTTTAATTTTGTAGTTTTGAAATGTTAAAAGTTTGCAATTGTTGTAAGTAGAGAAAGTTTACCGGGATTAAGACTAGCATTACTTTTACCGTCCTTTTACTATACTTTTTTACCGTCCTTTGATACACAGGAGGAGATTATTTAAAGAAATAATTTGAGGTGATTTTTGAGAAAAGGTTTTTTTGGTAAATTTGCCTAAGTTTCAAGCACGCAAAACAATTAGCTTTTTCAACAAATTGTAGATAATCGTTTTTGAAAACTGATTTTTTGAATAGATTCTATGGCAAAATGTCTATCTTAAACTTTGTAATTTTTAATGTGAAATTTTGCTTTCTTCTAAACATAACAGTTTGCGGGAAATTATACAAACACCGTTCTTTACCGTTCTTTATATGAGAAGAAAATTTAAAGACAAAAATATAGTAATTTTTGACAAAAAATTGTTTAACATAATTTGAGTACTGCCTCTTTAACATGCAAGGGTACTGCTCCGGCATTCGTCTGGCGTTGATCGGAGAAACCATGGTCTGGTCTACCGATCAGACCAGTCGGCTGACAAGCTAGTGTCGAAAATCTTACCACTATCGGGACTCGAACCTAGGAACTCTTCGTCAAAGGCAGTAACATCAGCTGATGCTCTGATCCACATTTGCCAGTACTGCCAATTGATTTTTCGGTATGAAAGACCCACAGAGAATGCATTCTCACTACATAACTTATTATATAAAGTAATTTACTGTATATATGAACCAGTTTATGTAGCAAAACAATATTTATCCACTTTTTCATCAACAGGGCTCGGCAATAAAATATTTAGTTTCAAAAATTCGTCGTTTTCTGGCGCACGACTACAATATTTTCTCTTCATACATACATAAGGTATGTATAAATACATAAGAAAGTAAAAACCCGTACATGAATAAAGAAGCGTATCAGTGAAAGAAACGATAACAACAAACAGCGGCCGACTAACCACTGCGCCAAATAAAGCAAGCATTGAACAAATAGTTAACCCGTAGTTATTTGTCGCTCAGGGGCGTTCACAAAGCATTTAATCCTAAGACTCGTACTGTACCGGTATATAGAAATTATTTGTCACCGGTGGGACTCGGATAAAAGAGGCCCAAAACACCCGCTCTTTTACAACGTTACTCCTTCGGGAACATCCTTCTCCCTCCCCAGTTCCCCAACCTCTGACCTCTTTTTCCATTTCATATTGATGATCTTGGGAAGAAGCGTAGCTTTGCCTCAGGTTTACTTTCTTGCCAACTACGTACCTACGTAGTTACGTAGAAAGTAATATAATCGTGAAATAAGACTGGTAATATTTTGTCAGAAAACCATATTGTAAGAACCTGATATCACAAAATGGTTTGATCTCATTTCTAGACGTAGTAAATTACTTTCTCTAACTCATTGTGCAGTCATAATGTTTTGCCTTGATGTAAATTGGTTTACTGCAAAACGTCGGCGTCTCCATCCCTTCGTGTGTCCGCCTGACGGTCACTCGTTCTCAAAAATTTTTCTCCAATAAGTTTAAACCATGGCGCAGATCTAATTTTTGTTTTACTCTGAATTTCAGGATGCAAAGGTTCATTTTTTTACTACAACTACAATATTTATTACACAGAATTCTGAATGAAATCTGTTCTTGAAATCCAGACAGGGCTCGTACACGTTTTTTGGAAAATATGCGTAATTTTTTTAATAAAAGAAAGTTTTAAAAACGTTTTCTCAAAACTGGCTTAAATGTTTTTTCTTTAGTTCTTTTCTTGAAAAGTGAACTCCGCTTATATAATCATGCAGGTCGCATTTTCGGTAAACTTTTTGTATTTCAAAATATTGCAAAAAATTCACATCACAAAACTTGATTTTGTTATTTTTTGTAGTATTGAAGATATACGTTTTTCTTAAATGAAATTTACTCTACAAAATATATCTTTGAATAAGGTCAAATATTGTATTAAATATATGAATAGTTTTGCTCGAAAAATATTTTTTTGCTTCAACTGTATGCTATTAAAAAAATTCAAAAACGGGTCTATAATATTAATTTAATTTATTCTCGGATAGAGCAAAGTACGCTTATAGTAATGACATAAATGCGAAAATCAATTTTCGAAATGTTGCAAAACTAACAATTGGGGCAAGAAATCATGTGCCGTTGTAGGATCACTAATTGCTAACGAAGTTGCTGTAAAAGCGAAGCAAATACCTCTGCATTACCATTAGATCTGGAACCAACATGAGTTTCCGGAATGCTTCCTGTGTTTTAACACGCTCTGGCAGAAATGTGGTTGGAAAAAGGGAAATGTGGTTGGAAAAGGTTTGAAGGAAATGTAAAAATTGCTTACTAGCAATGTGTTTGTTCTATTAATTTTCGAGGACTTTTGAATGTAGAACGTATAAGCGGCAATTGTATAATGATTTTATTTCATTCAATTTTACCAAAAGCCTTTCCCTCATAGACTACTTTTAAAGACATGTCAAAAAAGTTATTTTGAGCTTTCCTAATTATAATAGGAAATTCTTCATTCGGAGGAAAATATTGAATAACGTGTCCTTTTGAGTGATTAATATGTTGTCAGCAATAGAGGGAACAGTTTTAAATGTTTGGATGAACTTCCTTTCCCTGTTTAGAATGAGAAGGTGCCTACGGTATCTCGCCAATTTTCTGCGATGTCTCACATTTTTGACAGTTTGTCAAAAAGAGCACGTCATATGACATTACAATTGATTCTAGATGGTTTCACAATATTTTTGATATCTCATAAACAGAGGCTGCCAAAACTGCTGCTAGAAAGAGCAGGGGAATATATCAATAGTATCTAATTTGTTACTGTGTTATACTCAAGAAAATGACTGTTTGCATGATCCTAACAATCATCGTTTAAAATGTCAGGCTCTAACAGCTAAGAGTTGGGAAAAACGATGAATGTGAGAGTCATTTGGCTGAATATTGTTGAAGAGAAAAAGTCCATAAATTCACACAATGAGTAAGCTGTAAAGAGCTAAAATGTGCATTCATAAATTAGTTTTGTTTTGCATTTTTACGTTAATACTTACTTCGTAAGTTTCCCAGAAGAAAAAATATAAATTTGTAAATAATATTTAAACAGTTGAATATCCATGTCACGAGTAACGATTGTCCAATGTTTCTGTTCGCAGTGTTGCTGCTGACCCTGGTGGACCTGTCACAGCAGGGCTGCCAAAGTAAGTGTCCAATCGGTTCCTTTACCGTCAAATGAACGCCTTTACCCACCATCCCCATGCCCTTACCAGTAAAGGCTCGGCAGAGTCCCTCCATCCTCCAACCACCTCGACATTCTCGGGTCGTGCCGAGACCAAAGAGCTTTACCCTTCAGACGTTATTCGCTAAATCCTCAGTCCCTGAGAGGCTGCAAAAGCAGCTGGAGGCGGAAAGCGTTCCATTTGCCGCTCTTAAATGGGAAGCACAGAGGTCTCAAGTGAACTAAAGCAGATAGGGAAGGGGATCTTTATATTCATGTCACCCCAATCACTTCCGAAAACTGTCTATGCGTTGTAAAAGCCAATAATCTACCTCCCAGTCAGAAGACCTAGAGTATACTACGATTTATGTAATTCGGCCCCTGACAAGTATCAGCTGTTGACGATTTCATCCAATCGGTACATTAAACGTCTCCATATTGACGTCACTATAGTGACGTTCAAGCTTACGATTTGATGAAACTGTCGACAGCTGTTGCCTGTCAGGGACAGCGTTGCGAAAATCACAGTATAGTCGGGATAAGGCTTCAAGAGTATGCAATTTGCATTACGCGGTTGACAAGTGTGTTGCTTTGGTAGAACTGGGATCACTCATCACCGACACATTCTCAGCAATACCCTTAGGGATAACACTTCTTATCATTGACTGATCACTGAATCACCTATGTCATTAATCGCTTACTATAACTGATTTAGTTACGGGAAACACGTGTTATAATTTTATTGTAATATCTAAAGCGCTGTTTATGGGGCGCAAATTTGTTGCGATTCGGAGGAGTGATATCTAATCTTAATAATAAATAAGCTATAAATTGAAACGAAAGCGACGCGACAAAGTTGAAAACGAATAGTTTCTTAAACTAAACAGAAACCGAAGTCTTATTCCTGAGTCAATTTTTGCATGTAGCGTTTCATGTTTTCCCGCGAGAGCTTTTGCGTTCCTTTGGCCCACATCACACAACACGTTTTGAACAGCGGCCCCACGGGGATCCTAAAACGCCCCCAGCTCTCTTCCGCAGCCACGGCAACTTCCGCACTTGGCCGCTGCGCCAGCGTCGCCCGCCTCGCCTCGACCAATCGTCTCGCACCGTGGGGGGAAGGGATGGGAAGGCAAATTTAAAAAGCAAATTTGTGTAATTCACGAGATACGCGAGTGGGAACGCCGGCGGTGGCTCCGCAACGAAGCTTTTGCCTGTCGGGAGATACAACAAGAGGAAAGAGAAAAGAAAAATCTTGGCCGTCCGCTCGAGTCCTCTTTACTCTTGAGCGCACCTCTTTTGTTGGCTGCTCCTCTCGTGAAGTGCATCGGCCTTTGCACTCGGAGCGGGGCGAGCGCGCCCTGCCGGCCGAGAGCCTCTTCGGGGGCGGGGCGGGGAGGGG